ATCATAAGGTATCCATTCTAATGCCTCTTTATATACTTCATAATTAACGTGAGCTGATAGCTGAGTATCTTGAATAAATTTATCAATATAATCATTACCACTAGTCCAGTCTATAAAATTTTGTTGAAAATGAATTACATTACATATGTAATTACACTTTTTACATTTATCATTCAAAACCATCATATAATTATTTGTCTTTGGATTTTGAGTTATTCCATAAAATTCGTGATCTGTTTTCTAATAAATATAATGTTTCAGTAAAATTAAGAATTTCAAATTTTTATTAAATAATAAATTAATTATACCTCATTCATAAATTCTAATGTAATATTTTTTGGATTATTTAAGATTTTAAGTATCACAATCATATTATTTTTATTTCTTTTCCAATTTTGTTTTTTATCATCCCATTCATAAATACATCCATCAATCCAATTTGCTATATATGTTTCACCAAATCTGCTTTTTATAGTGTTATTAAATCTATCATAAGGTATCCATTCTAATGTTGCTTCTGTGTTTTTATGAACTGATAGTTGAGTATCTTGAATAAATTTATCAATATAATCATTACCACTAGTCCAGTCTTCAAAATTTTGTCGAAAATGAATTACATTACATATGCAATTACATTTTCTACATTTATCATTCAAAACCATCATATAATTATTTGTTTTTGGATTTTGAGTTATTCCATAAAATTCGTGATCTGTTTTAATCTAATAAATATAATATTTCAGTAAAATTAAGAATTTCAAATTTCATCAAGTAATAAATTAATTATACCTCATTCATAAATTCTAATGTAATATCTTTTTGAACATTTAATACTTTAAATGTCACAAACATATTAATATTATTTCTTTCCCAATTTTTTTTTTTATAGTAATCCCATTCATCAATATATCCATCAATCCAATTTGCTCTATATGGTTCGTCAAATCTGCTTTTTATATCGTTAAATCTATCATAAGGTATCCATTCTAATGCCTTTTTATATACTCCATAATAAACGTGAGCTGATAGTTGAGTATCTTGAATAAATTTATCAACATTATCATTGCCACTGGTCCAATTTTCAAAATTTCGCTGAAATTTTATTGCGTTACACGTAAAGTTACATTTTTTACATATCACATTTAATTCATTAACATGTGTAACACGTGATGACTCAGTACGCTTCTTGATACTTTTGAAAAAATCCATCGAGACTTTTTTAAAATCACAATGAATTCAGATTAATAAAATTACTAAATAATGTAGTTTAAAATTTATAAACTTTTGCGACAATGTTTATTAGTAATGTATTACTACATTTCATATGAACGAATTATAGTTGATCTGTTGATCCTCTTGGGCGATGATCATTTTACAAATTTCAGACGTAATCACCAGATGATCTTAATATTTTATCCTATCAAATAGTCGAATGTAATATAAGAGTGTTAGGTCTTACCGTTGGCCAATGCATATAGTACCCAGGGTCTTATTCAAGAACTCGATATTTTAAATTGAATAGTCGTGAGGAACCGGCGGGTGCTATATTTGGATATAAATTATATGAAAAGTGATAAATTGTTAGAGGTTATACCCCGAAAACTAGGTAGCATGGTGGTGAATAATACCTGGGTCTTAATCATGTGGTTCTATTTTCAGGGGATACTATATGCAGTGGCCAACGGTAATTTTAGTAAATTTTTTTATAATAAAAAAAACTTTATCTTATTTATCCCGATCAAAATTTTTTGACGAGAAAAATAGACAAATATATTCAAAAAATACAATAAGCATGGAGTCTTTATATGAGAGAATAATTTGCAATCATGTTTTATAATGAAACGGGTTACTTTACCAAAAAATATTTTTGTAAGATAAGGATAAGAAAACAGCAAAAACGACATTTACAAGGAAAGCCCATAGAAAACGACAAAGAAATTAACTGTTTTCAAAGACATAAGTCAGAAAATTAGTCTAAATACTGAAATTGTAGAACAATTATTAAAGTGTTGCGATATAATAACATACGAGCATCTTACTTATACAGACTTTCAACGATAGGAAAACGGAATATATATTTAAGAAATAGGCTTTATGAGACGCAGCAAAGAATAGTGATTCATTACACCTTTATCGCTATTGTGCTACTACTAAACGGTTGTCATTTCTACAAAAATTATGAGAATTAAAATACACTTTTACTATACGAAATATAATATATATAACCGGGTATTATACAAAATGCCTGATTTAAAAATTATATAATACCTGTGGGTACTTTGTGAGATACCGGGTATTATACATAATAATTTTAATCAGAATTAAGCTAAAGTTACCAGAATTAAGGGGGGTACTATTTGAGAGTAAAAATTTTATATCTAGTAAAATACCCGGGTCTTATACTAACTTTGGGGATATTATAGGCAGTGCGGTACGGTAAATTTACAATTAAAAAAAATTTCATATACAGTATATATATCATTGTTCAACATGATACTCAGTCAGATGTCATTCACCTTATTTGTCACATCACTCACATGCGTAATTTCTTAATGCCGTAATGCCGGCCAAAACTACTCCGTTTTAAACGCGCCATGAGCATTGGGTAGAAGATTACTTTGCTAGTTTTAAAAGTAATTTTTAAGTACCTTTTTTTTGTTATATTCTTTGTCGATTATTTATTAGTGTTGAAAAAAAACTTTCACTATATAAAATAATATAAACATATATTTAAATTAGCGCATCCTTTATCGACATCAGCAATAACTTAGGCGAATGTAATAGTGTTTATCGATTTCATGGCAACATTTTATAATATTATCGGTTATTATAATTGAGGTTATTACTATTGTTATTTTTTCGTAATCATACTAGGAAACATAAGTCAAAAACAAATGTTATTATTATTATAAAAATTTTACTGAAGACTAATGACCATAAAGTCTATCAATTATTTAATTCTATACAATGAATAGTACCTAGCAAAATGTATGCTTGGAAGATACTATTTTTCGTGTAAAATATCATTATAACAATATAATGTTTGCCAATTTAAAATGTCATCTTTTCATTTGTTGACAAAATTCTTTGCAAGTAAGGAGAAACGCTAATATAAAATAACCATATGAATGTGAAGGATTTTTGCTAAGGATCAAAATAAAATAATGATAAATTATATCGTTACATATATGAAAATCGTTACTTTGAGCTCTCATTATTGTAACGAATAAATTATGATGAATTTAATGGGAGTCGTTCAAAATCCTGACAATCAGAATCCCGCTACAACACAAACCCGACATTCATTATCCCGACACTTATTACCCCTTTAAGTTTTACAATATTAAACATCATACATATTATTTACCATGTTTTCTTCAAATGATTTTTCATGAAAACTTCATTAAATGAATATTTTTTAATGATTTTATTTTTTACTTTATATTTTTTATTATTTTTACTAAAAAAAAAAAAATGTAATTATATGACTTTATTTTTATAATGACTAACAACGATAATTAGTATAACAAATAAAAATTAAATCAAATTAATTAACTAAGTTAAAGTAAATTTTTAGGTATATTAAGTATATTTAAAAGTATTGATATGTCTCATCTTGATATAATCCGCTGTCATAGCTGATCCTGATGTGATTCTAGAATAACAATGATTGATTACCATATCCTCATCTATTTTCATGATATGCTCGTTTATTACCAGATTTATATTATTCACACTATTTATTTTGACAACTTCCATTATTAATAATTAATTACACTTCT